CTAAACCATCCCAGGCTAGTTTGGGAGTATGGGCAGATTTCTGAGCTGGTAAATGTTTTATTTTAATCCGCAAGGATAACTGCAAGCCAAGTCAGCCAGGGGTCTCACACACCATTCAAGATAAGAACACATTTGATTTGGCAGGAGCTACTCTTGGTGGTGGCCCAATGCGGATCCCGCTGCCTTCATTACTCGGGGACTGCGGTCCTGCCTCGTGCCAGCACGGGGTGGCGGCGGCGTCAGAAGTGAGACACGGAGTAGTGAGGGAGCGCTTACTGTCCTGCACTTGGTCTGTGCACATGGATGAAACACATTCAATGGAATCTAAGAATGGGGGGCAGGGAAAGGTGGGGAGGTAGAGGGGAGGGCTTCTCTCTCACGTCTACCCCAGCCCAAAGCATCACGCTAGAGCCCCAAACCCAAACCACAAAGCACCACGGGATGGGAGGCTGCGAAGCAGGACCCAGGAAACACAATAATTAAATAGTACGATGAAGGCTTAAATTTCCAAGTTGATTCTTGGGTATCATTTGTAAACGTTAACAGGGCATATTTAATTTAGGAATTGGCCCACATCCTTCTCCTTAGAGCTGAAACCTCATAAATGGAATATACTGGATCAGTGCCCAGTGTGGAAATAAAAGTTATGAATAATGTTTCTATCTCAATCATTGTCAGTGCTTTAATATTCCTAATTACTTTAAAAAGCTAGATATTCAATATAGGAAAACTTTTTTTCTTTTTATTTCCACTTGTGAGATTAGTGCAATTTAATAACAGCCACTCTGTCGTCTTTATTCGGTGTAAACTGACATTTCATCCTTCTACTCCTCATTATGATATGGGATGGAGGTTTATGACCAAGCATGCAGGCACTGCACTTCCCTGTATCAGTCCTCCTAACACCTCGGAATTATCCACAATAGCTCATGTGCCTGTTTGCCAGGCAAATCAGCATCACCTCTCTTTATGAAGCAGAAAGAATTTAGTCCAGGCCTTAAAGAAATTAGGCTATGGGGTTGTCAGTCTGGAAAAGAATGAAAATTCTCCCACCCCACCCCAGGACTAGATCTGTCCCCTTCACAACTGTCAAAGTCATAAATCCCTTGGCAGCCACAAAGGGCAGAGCAGGGCAGGCGGTAGGAATGATGGATCTTTATAACCCTCCTTGCTTCTTCCAGGAATGTATCCTAGGAAAAAATCGGGACAAATGGGCAAAGATATATGCACGAGAAGAATCACTGCACTGTAGCATTTTTTTTTTTTTTTTGCACAGGGCCATAGTCCCTTGCCCACAATCCAAAAATCCCTAAAAAGCCCAAAAGAAAAATTGCTTTAAAGTTCAGCACCAAAATTCATTTAGAGGCCAGATCTTCATGGAACTGATTCATGGCTATGCATTGCCTTGATGTCACTAGATGGAATTAGTCCTATTCAGAAATATTACTATGTCTCATCCCAGGGTGCTGCCCAGACCCCTCTGGGGGTATAGGTCATATACGTATTGTCACCACACACGTTTCTAAACTCTGAAAAAAATTGAAATTCTGAAATCAACAAGCCCCAAGGACCCTGAATACAGGATGGTGGGGCCTTACAATAGTGAAAACCCCAAAACAACTTAAAAGCCCATCAACAAGAGACCGGTCAAATACCTCTGGTAATCCACAGAAGAAAACTCTATAAAGGTCTTAACAAATTTAAAGGGAGATTCGTGTTTATCGACAAAGATATCAGTGCATGACATAAAGTTAAAAAGCAAGTTACAGAACAGCACATAGACATGATCTCATTCATAAAAGTTGTATCTCTCATAAAAGACGTAGCTTTCAGTGCAAATATGTAGAGAAATGACAGGGAGGGCAACCACCCAAATGTGTGTGTGTGTGTGTGTGTGTTTCTAACCTTTTTGTAGGATTCTGGTGTAGTTTGGAGTTTCTTTTTAACATGAACAGGTGTGATTTTAGAATCAAAACCACAACAAAAATGATGCTTTTTTAAACGAAAATCCAAGCTTCCCTGCAAGGGGATCATATGTATAGACATGTACATGGGCAGCTCACATTCAGAAATCTCCAGAGGTACACACTGCATGGACCAGGACACCCATCCCCATGGGCACGGGCCCCAAAGACCCTAAGGCACACTCAAGCAGACAGCATCCAGCGGCACGCTAGCAAGCAGGCTCAAATTGCTTGGACTACCCCTGGTCACAGTTTGTGTCCTGTGGCTGATTCATCTACCTCCAGAATAGGATCTTGGGACCACATATTCCAAGCGGATTCTTCTTTCTCCTGTGAGCAAAAGTGTCTTCTCATCAAAGACCTATTTTAACCTTAGGCTGTATGAATAGAGGTTGAGCATCTAGAGGAAGAACGTGATCATTAAGAGGTTAGGTTTGGGACTCAGGTGTCTGCTTGGTGGACAGTCCCAGTTTCACCATTTACTAGCTTGTGTGTCTGTGCAAAGTTTGTTCTCATCTGTAAATGGGGCTAATAATTCCTATTCCACAGGGTTGTTGTGGAGATTAAGTGAGAAGGTAACTGGAGTGCCTAGTGCATCATAAAATTCAATAAACAGTATCTACTTCTATTATTATTTTTCCATACCAGCCTACAGTTGTGTGGTCAGACCTAGGAATGATAGTTTAAGAGGACTAAAGGCCACAGCCAACGGAGAGGAACCAGATGGGGAAGGCAGATCAGACCACATCAGGCAAGAAACAAAGGAGCTTAGAGAATAAAAACTTGGGGAAGGAAGTGATCGCTGTCTTCTAACACCCAAAGGGCTGAGCCGTGGAAGGGGACCCCGGTTTCTTCTATGCAGCCCCAGTGGTTATTATCAACTACTCTTTGATGAACATCTTCCTGTACCCAATCCATGGCCTTGTCCACTGATCTCCTTGGGAGAAATTCCAGACATGGTGAGGAGAGTCATGGCGATCCATCAACCTGCTCTGGACTTTATCATGAGTAAGGACTAACTGGTGAATCCTTGAGACAGATTTCCACTTAATAGAAGGAGAAGCTTTCCAACAGTCAGGACATACTTTCACAAGAGGCAGTGAGCTCCTTGTGAATGGAGGGACTCACGCAGAAATGGGAAGGCTCTTGGTGACATCTAAGCTTTCGGTGCTCTGAATGATTTTGAACGGGAGAGTCTATGATAAATTCCTTTCATTCAAGGCTGGTTCCGGCAGAGGGTTGGAACCCATCTTTTGGGACTTCCTATGGGTTCAGTAGTACATGCCTTTGAGTCGACTTAGGGATGGTGGCTCTTCAGCTCACGAAAATGGATTTAATTCAGGAAACAGCTCACCACTGAGTCTGATGGCTGAATCAGGGGTGGGGGAAATTAGGCAGTCCCGTGTTATACTGGCAGCTAGCAAGGCCATTTCCCTGTTTGGTAAACTCACTCTAGGGGCAAGATTTACTCTAAACTGCCCAGTCCTTTTCAATCGAGTGCCACCTTCATTCCATTTCTTTCACAGAAGGGAAACCCTGAAAGACACAGACCATGTCAAAAAGACCCTCCAGGGCCCACCCCAGGCCTGGCACAGTCTAGCATAGAGCGAGCGCCACATGCACTTGCACTGATCGGTGGTTTATACGCACTCAGGGCCCCCGAGACTCAGGCTGTATTTCTCACCTCCAACAGGCTGCCCTTGACATTATAATCCAGCACGAAGCAAGCAGACCTGTCCCTGCAAGGCTCCCCTAATCCAAGTCAGTTCTCCGTCAAGCATTCGTGGTGAGCAAAGTTACATAACACAAAACATGGATGGGAGGTGGGGGAGGACAAGCTCTTGAACATTCTAGCCCACATGTTTCCTGCAGTCCACAGAAAGACTGGTGCAACACATTCCCTTACCTCCCTAAAGTTTACTTTTCAATGTCTGGAGGAATCCCTGGCCTCGCTGCTCAGCGTGGCCCACCTCAAAGCAGTGAAACAGGTGGGAGGCAGAGGCCACTGAGGCCCCAGTGCATTGAAGAGTTTCCTGAGTCCCCCAAAACAGATCCCAGACTCCCCGAGCCAAGATAACCTCCAGGCTCAAAACAAAACCACATCCAATAGCCTTGCTGGGGGGTATGTTCTCATGTACTGGGTAGACAGGGAAGCTCCGGTCAAGGCCCTTGGGAAAAAGGACCGTAACTAGATGTTTCCACCCCAGCAGAGATAGTGGAAAAGGGCAAGAGCACCACACTAGACCATCATGGACCCACCATTCCCTTCTTCAACTTTTCATAACCATTACAGTTACACTGGGACTGGAAACAGAGAGGTGGCTCCCAAAGATGGGTAAATGCTGGGGGTTAGACCCCAATGGATCAGCTTAGATATGTTATCTACTCAAGTCACAATAAAAAAGACACTCTACCCCAGCTCAAAGCAGAAAGAACACTGGGTTTCAACACTAATCAAAGCCTAATTGAAAATCCCATAAGACCATAATGTTGACCAACCATTGACTGCAAAATGTGCCAATGGAAAGAGGTTCATCTGTGAGCATTTAGGGGAAATGAGTCAGAAGAGCAGGAGTTGTTTTCATCTGGGTTCTTGGCAGAGAATTCCCTGAACAGCTGCTAGGTGCACCCCACCCTCTCGGTTGTCAGCCCCACGGCAGATGCAATGCCCCATGCTGCAGGTGGTAGCAGTCTCTGGCCCTGTCCGTCGGTCCCAAGAGCATCTCAATTTCACTTTGACCCTTAAAAGACCGTATCTAGAAGTGTTTCATCAAGTCGGAGTAGTACAAATACTCCACAGTTCCCAACAAATGCAACGCACAACGCTCCTCCAGACCCCCCACAAACCATGACTCCCCATGCCCCTGGAGGCTTCCACCCCAAGTATCACCATGTAAATGCAGGGATGCCTCCTCCCAGATGTCCACACTGACCTGGGCTGCCCCAGGCCAACACAAAGAATTCAGACTGTACATGGCACGCCTCCCCCAAGCCACAGCCAAGGGACCTCCTGGCCCCCAAAGACCCCAGACTCACCACTGGAACAGTCAGGCCCTCCCCAGCCAGGCTCACAGTGGCAGGTGTCCGGGGAAACGCAGCGGCCATGCACACACTCCTCCGTACACAGGGCTGCAGGAGGCCGGGAGAGAGGGAGGAAGCACAGGAACAGACAGTGAAAACCAACCATCTGGTCAAAGAGCATAAACCACTTTGTAATGATCCCCTGGGGCCCAGGGCTGCTCAGAATGCATCACTGGCTTTGGGGAAAATCAAGCTACTCCTGACCCGCATCATTTAATTAACTCTGAAACGAATCCAACGAGAGTGTGCTTCATCCTAGCCTCATTTCCTAAAAGGAAACCCAAGCCCAAGAAAGGGCAGCCTTAGTTTTTCAAGAACATTCTCTCCAAGATTTAACACTTGGAGACCCTCCACAAACCGGCCCTAAATCCACACTCCTGCTCTCTTTCCCATGAGCTCAGGAAGTGACCTGTCATGTCCATCCTTTGCTTTTCCCGGTTTCTTTCTACAAAGGCCCCGAAATTTATCAGGTTGCCTGCAAAGAACAGGTTCCTCTCCCGTTTCCCCCACCTTTCTGTTCTCCTCCCCAAATGCCCCTCTATTTTGGGGCTCTCAAATGTCAGCAAATCTGCAAAGTACACAGATGCTGAGGAAAAAGCAACAGCTAATTATAAGAAAGTAATTAAGAGAGACATCTATGATGATGATAATTGTAATTAGAAAGTGCCTGGCAATTTCTTATCACACAGTCAATGCTATAGCCTCCTGAGCCGGGAGGCAGCAGTGGCAAAGGTTCCATCTACTTCCTCCAGCTCTGAGAAGGCTTACTGGCAGCAGTTTGAGGAAGGGGGATTATTTCTCTCTTCCTTTGACATCCACACGTTCTCAAGGTCGTCCTCTACTCCTGAGAGATCTGCCCCACCATCTAATCAATCCATCAGTGAAGGATTAGCGAAAACCCCCATTTTGCCACCCAGGCCAATTTTGTAAGCTCGGGAAATCAGCAGCTACCATCGACCCTGTCAATTTCTTAGACAGGATCTAGATGAAGGGGTTTCGGACAAGCAGTGAGAGACCTTCTCTCCGCCTGGAACTGGCCTGGGTGGGGGAGAACAGGCGGCCCCTAGTCCTGAGTCCTGATGGACAACCACTGACTTCCAAACACCCACTCCACTCTTATGTCCACTGCCCGGTCTGAACGCCCATCTAGAGGCCACGGTCAGGTTAGACAACAAAGTCCATTTTATGGTTGGTGTGATGCTGACGCTGAAGCCATTGCCTTGGCTTTGCCCAAGCCCCCGTGCAAAGGCACCCAGAAGAGCCATTTCAAATGCCCCATCTGTCAGCGGTCCACAGTCAGCCTGCCCTCTCCAGGCCTCGTTGTGGTATATCAGGGGAGGGCCCCGACACCCATGTGCTTCACATTTGGACAGGTGGCTCTCAGGGAAGGGTCTGGTCTGTGAAATTTTCCACCGCCCTGGAGCTTCGGGGAGTGGCAGGGGGCCCACCATCTAACCCAGTTCTCTCTGGGGAACTGGGTTGGCTCCTGGTTCCGGTGACCAGCTCCACTGAGAACCACAGTGAGCTGCTCACTCAGCTGCTGGCAAGACCTCTGGCAAGACCTCGTCTGACCATGCCTGCTTCCCGGGCTCTTCCTGCTCTGCTGGACGTTCTAAACAAACTCAAACAGGTCAGTGTGCCCAGAACACACCGGACACGAGATGTCCATCCCCAGGCTCCCCATCAGAGGCCAGCACCTCAGCCCAGCCAGCTCCAAGCTCTGGCCTCAGCTGCTTCTTTCCCCCATCTGCATCCCCATAGGCTGAGGTCCCTGCATGGTCTACTGCTGGGTCCCTCCCATCAGCTTTTCAGATTGGCTCAAGACACCTCTGCTGCTTTCTCACGGCACAGAGCGACACCTTGATCCCCGGGGGCTCTGCTGGGAGGGCAGCGAAAGCAGACAGTGAACAATGAAGCTGCCAACTATCAGGGCTGGAAGAGACCGCAGAGAAAATCATGTCCAACCCCTTCATTTTATGCACGGAGAAACAGAGGCCCAAGTGTTTGTGACCTCGTGGACAGAGTGTGGTCTCCTGGCCAGGAGGGAAGGAGCTTGGGGATGAGCCTCCTGAAGGTAAAGGGAGGGAAGAGGTGCCCGAGACCACGGACCTTCAGCTCTCACCCACCTGGAAGTCTTCCCAGCCCCAACGGCTAGGGGAGCCAGCCCAGAAGGACAGAGAGTGGGTGACCCCCAGGAGGGTGAGAGCTAAGGGAAGAAGCCAGAGGAGCTGCTTCAACACACTGGGCGCCCTGCAGGGGGGCTGAGGGGGGCTCAGAAGAGCTCAAGGGAGGAGGAAGGATGAAGTACCCTGCCAACCCTCGCCTCTCCCTGGCCCTTCTCACCCTAAGGAGCTATCCACAGGCCTATCTCCTGCGCCCTCTCCCTAGCTGGAAGGGTGGGGCCTTCGGGTGCTCCAGGCAAGCTCCACACCACCTTTTCCCTTGGACTCTGCCCCAAACCCCAGGGATCCCCTAGGACAATCTGTCAAGCATGTCCCCCCAGCTCAGCCCTGTATCCAGCCTGCTGGCTCCCAGTGACGTGATGTGCGGAGACGAGCCATCCCACAAAACCTGGGCCTGGCTCCAGGGATGTTGTTGCTGTCCCCGTGGTCCGTCCAGACCTTGTTATGCCCCTCCCCTCCTCATCGCCCTGGGACTATGCCTGGGCTCTCTGCTTGTCAAAACCTCAATCCATTCATATTTCATAGGTGGTGTTTAGACAGTGTTGTTTGAAGCAAGAAATATTGATAGCAAATATCTGAGGCTCAGATGGCCAGATTTGGCAACTGGGCCATCATGTGCTTATGGACCTGGTGGGGAGGGGGTAGGAGGCAGGTGCTGTGAGGGAAGTCTCCTGAGGAGGAATGGAGGGGAGACCCAAGCTTCTCCCTGGGGCTGGGGTTCCTGACTCCTACCCCAGACCCTTCACTAGCCCAGCAGTGGGCAGCCCCTCTGCAGAGGGCTGGGGTGTACAGGTCCCCCGAGTTCTTTCTGACCCCAGCCCCCCATGCCAGCTGACCCCCCAGGAAGGGCTGAATTAGGGTTCTGCCACCCTGGCCTCCCTTTTCTCCGGCTCCTGTAACTCTCAACAGGGGCATTTTGTTGAACCCCTCTTCCCACTTGCTGTCCCCCAACTGCTGTTGGGAGACATGCCCACAGTGTGACTGAGTGCCAGCCACCTCCCTTCTCCCGGCCCCACTGAGAAATTTGAACCTCTGCTCTCTCAGCTTTCCACCACCTACCCTCCTGCCCGGTGCTGCTCCCAACATCCGGATGCTGGAGGTGTCTTTAGTGAGAAGGAGCACAGCAAAGTCTATACGAGAAAGCCGGGTCTAGACCCAGAGATGCCACTTAGTAGCTCTAGACCTCAGGCAAGTTCACACCATCTCCATGTCAGTCCCCATCTGTTCACTGGGGGACAGTGACAGGACGGGCCTCAGGCTGTGTGTGAGGATTACAGGAGTTGACAAAGCACCCAGAGCGGTGCCTGGGGTCTACTAGGCTGAGTCTTGCTATTGTTATTTAGTAGGGTGTCCTCGGACTCAAGGCGGGGGCCTCCGCACACTAGCTGTCTCCCTCTCTCCTTCACTGAGGCCCTAGACACATGGATACATGGGGAGGGCTGTAGGGATCTGCGGATAAACCCTGGTCGGGGATGGTATGCTGGAGGGTGGCCCCATCTCCAGCCCTGCGGGGGAAGCCAGGGTGGGAGACAAGGTGATGACCTGAGTCTAAATTCCGCATGTGTCGATGACAATTACAGGACAATAAGCAAATTATCTAACCTCCCGTACCTCAGTTTCTTCATCTGTAAAATGGGGACAATAATAGTACCTAACTCATGGGTTGTTGCAAAGATTTAATGAAATACAGGTAAAATGCTAAGGCCAGTGCCTGGCATACAGTAAGTACTCAGTAAGCATGAGCTGCCCTGATTATTTGCATGCACACACACACATACACGTACACACATACACATGCGTGCCCCATGTGGTCTGGACTTGATGTCTAAGCCAGCTGACAGCTGCTACCACGTATCACTGCTTCCTGTACATTACCATTTTCTGAGCACCTACTACGTGCCAGGCCTCGGAACTTCCAACACATGCTGTCTCCACCTCTGTCACAGGCCATCCCAGTACACCTTGATGGAGTTAGCAATGTCAGCACCTGTCTCTCCTTTGTGAATCTCTGGAGTTTGGGAGGACAGAGGCCACTTCCTACTCACCCTTTTAAAGCTCTCATGCTGCCTGAAACAAAACAGCTGTCTCAGTGTTGGTGGATCCCAAGGAGGGAGTCATCTCCTCCAGGAGAGAGCCCCCTGAACACATGCAGGGAGGGCCTGGCTGTCTCCCCCGAGCTCAGCTTCAGAGCTCAGTCACAGAGAAGTCACCGAATCTCGGGGCCCTGCGCACTGGCTTCAGGCTGTTTCTGGCCATGGGGGACCGGGGTGGCTAGGGATCTTGAGCAACGGTGCTGTGGGGTTTCAGAACAAGCCCAGCTACAGGTGGGAGGAGATCTGGGTTGGTGGCCACCCGCATCTATCTCAAAGGTATCAAGCATCCCACTTTCCTCTCCAGGCCCTGCAACTTCACCTATAAATCGAGACCAGACCAGATGAGATCTGCAAAGTCCCATTCAGCTAAGAATCATCAGGAGCTACCATCCTGCCCAGCCCTACCCCCTCCAGGAAATGCATGCATCACTGCCATTGCCCTAGTCCCACTTCCTGGCCCCCACAGGAGCCCCCCTCTCTATGGCCTAGTAAACCTGCACCCTTGACATCACGGGGACCCTGGTCTCTGTCCTCCATTCCTCTGGAAATGGTACTGGATTAGGAGGCAAGGAGACCTGAGTGGGAGTTCCGGCTCTGTACGACCTGCCATAGGACCCCAGGCAGGTGGCTTCCTCTCTCTGGCACTGTAACACATCACCCTTAAAGCTCCTTCTACTGCGGACACCCCTAGATACTTCCAGGGCCACTCTGGCTCCATCATGTCACCGTGCAGCAGCTGGAAGCTCAGAATGCTTCCACTAGGCTCCCTGGC